TGTAGCTTTGCGCGAAATTCATAACAAACAAACTCAACGAGGTTCGAACTGGTGGGCATAATAAACACTACAAATTGATTGCCCCTGTAAACTATTTAGGCTATCTTAATTTTTTTTATATAAACTAAGAACAAGTTACATTTTTTAACGTTTTAGGTGAGAAGTGAAAGCAGTAACCCTAATCTAGTGAATTAATTTATCATCATCTGTAGTTTATGGTTTTTTTCAAATCATAATCCGTGTAAAAACACAATATGTATCACCCATCAACACACGATGCCATAAGTATAGGAACTTCCGGCTTGAGAATAAGAATATCTGAAATTATAGACATAAATGGCTCTTTTTTTTTTTTTTTTACAGAATAAGATGCCATTTTAGTTGTTTCAAGCAAAATAAAACAAACTTTTAAAGACAAGAACATTAAAAACTGCTAAGAACTGGTCAGAGGAATCGTCTCACTTGGCAGTGAAGACATCACGATTTCAAATTCTGTAGATAATTTCTTTTCTTACTATTTTTGTCCAAAATAAAATCACTTTATAAATTTATTTAACACGTGACCTTTTGGATTTTACCGACATTAATTTATTTGAAAAGTTTTTTTGGTGTACAAAACTTGAAAATAGCTTTTATATCTGGAGGAGGTTATCTGATTTAACCACTCACACCATTATACAGTAGCGTGTTGTCAGTCAGTCAGTCAATAGAGACTAAAATGACGTCACATAAGGGTCGCTTAACTTTGCAAATTGTGCTGTTGTGACGTCAGTAAAACGTACGAGAATAATTATGCACTTTGTAGGCGACAATACGTCATGATATATGAACTTCAAAACTAAGAAACAAAAATATTTATTACTCTTAATTATGGTTTTATTTACTCTTGAAACAGAAAACTTTCGGGGACACTGTAGAAGTACATCTAGTTTAGCAGTTTCTGGTTTTGTTTGAAGGACTTTATTGTGTACTGAAGGAAAAGCCCCCGAGTGCTGTCTTTGCTGTGTGGCGCACTTTTTTACATTGTATCAGAATTTACCATTTTATATTATTAAAATGTAAACATGCCTCATGTTATGTAACTAAGCAGTTTCAGTGCTCAGGCTATATATAACCCGGTGCTATAAATGCCAATTTCAACATTGTGTTTGTGTGTTGCAGTCTTTCTGTTTCTTCAAAAGTTCTGATAATAAAATATACGTAAATAAAAGTCTTAATAAGAAATAATATTCACAACTAAAATCCATATGAACAGTATTTCGAGTTGTGGCATTGTGGAAGTAAATACATTTGCTATTACAAAACCAAGAAACAATAAACGTTAGCAAATAAATAAATAAATATATACATGTATATATACACGCAATATTCAATGTTGGAATAAAGTATAGTCGAATAATATATGATGAAATGTTTATTTTTCATGCGAAGTGTTCATCGGGATCCCTGTATGATTGATTCAACTAGAAAGCTTAATTAGTTTGACTCTTTAGGAATGCAGTAACAACTAAGTCTGTCTGGCTTGTCGTTACGTCAGTAGTCGAAGGTTATAAACATGCCCTTTAGCCTAAAGTTATATGCTTTAGCGAAATCATCACGGACATGGAATTTTGAGTTTTATGTTATGGTCAAGCGTTAAATAACCACTTCAAACTTGAGATGAGTACCAATGAAAGTTTAAATGCCCAATCGGCATATTTTCAATTTAAATACGATAAAGTGTTTGATGAAAACTTGTTTTATCCTTACTAAGTTTTTACACCAGAATTTTTAGTTTTTACTTGGGCGGAGAATGAAAGTTAACAAACCAGTCTCACTCTCCACTGCACGAGCGATTAATGCCCATATCCTCGTGACTTCAGAAGGAGATTAGACTGCCCAATAAGGAGCAAATTGCTTAAGGGAGTAGATGTCCTCCAACTAGTTTCAAGGTCAAGGTTAATTGTGATAACATATTCCAGCACGAGTTCCTTATTTATTTTTTTCTGGCCAGTATTCTGAAAAAGAACGCTTGCCTAGATCATTTTTGTACTGTAGTACACACCTTCATAAATTGACTATTTTATTAAACAATAAGTGGATTTCAAATAATATTCATGGTCTTTTCTTAATTTCATATATCCGTTTAAAGCTAATTTTGAGAACATAAACTAATCTCGAAAATAATGCTTAGCTTACTTCTGGTTTAGCATACACCTCCACAAAGGAACTATTTTGTTAATCAATTAGTAGAGAACTAATAATACTCACGATCTTCTTATGTGTTCTTTAGTTATTTAAAGATAATTGAGAGAACACGTATTTAAGAAGAAGAAAAAACCGGCAATTTAAATTACAGAAATTTAATCATTAAAACGGATAAGCACATGATTAAATAGTTATTTACATTGGTTAGGTACACTCCGAAAAACTTATACCTTAGTAGAATCTTAAAATCTATAGAAAAATCCAAACCGAATACCTATAGGAATGTCGTTTTAAATACATATAGTTATATATATGTTTAGCCAACAATATCATTACTTATACTTTCAAAAATATAGACAGTATTGGAAATAAACATTGGATTATTTGCTTTGTATAAAACAACTCCTACACACTGCAATAGCACTGTTGAGATTATTTAAAATTCATTTGCATTATGATAAATTCTTAGCTAAGTTAATCATTTAGTGGTCATTAAAGTAGTTGCAAGTCAAGTTTTAAAGCATAAAAAAAGCAACAACTATCATGTAAAACTGGATTTTGCAGCCTTTTCACCCATTAAAGTTCCTTGTCATTGAATAGTAAAAGTAATAAGAAGAGTCTTATGTAATTGTAGCTAACTACGTATACAAAGTAAAAAAAACAAACGAGTCCGATATAGCTACATACTAACTGCTTATACGTGTGTGGTTTATCTAGGTAAAACTGAATTTACTTAAAGGCAATGGGGTAGGTTTGTAGAATAACAGGAGATCCGATCAGGATCAGGATATTTGTCATGGAGTAAAGCTAAATCTTTGAATAACTGAGTATGAGAAAAAAGACACTGGACACAATATAATGAATAAAATGAACAGTCTTTAGTTCATCACAAACTAAGTTTGTGAACTTTCTGTTGTTACACGGGGTGATCACTTTTATTGGATCTAACGAGGTTAGAAACCACGTTTTTTGGCACCAAAGAAAACGGCATAATTAATAAGAAGTGCTTTAAATCAGTACATTGTTGAACTCCGTTTAAATAGTCTTTGTTAACAAAATATTGTTATAACCAACAAATAAATTAAAGAAATGCTTATCTCAAAAATGATAAAATATTAACTTTTCAAAGGTAGGTATGTAGGTTCGCACGAACTTGTAATAATAAAATTATTCTAGAAAGTTTTATAGAAAAACAGATAAGTTCCGGTAACTTACGTCTTTGGTTGAAAGGGATTCAATACACTGCGTGTTACGTCTTTGGTTGAAGGGGATTCAATACATAGCGTGATGTTGATTGTTTTGGAGGTTAACAGTAGAATCTCAAAGAGTGTGGACAGAAGTACACAACAGAAATTTTCAGTTTGTCTTTATCGCGCACAAAAACATTCTTCGCTTACTGCCAAACTTTCACTGTAACGTCTCGCATCGCCGCCGCCTACCTTTTCTTGTATACCTAACACATTTTCACTGTAACGTTTCGTATCGTCGTCGCCTACCTTTTCTTGTGTAATACACAAATAGGTATACCTAACACATTGTCACTGTAACGTCTCGTATCGTCGTCGTCTACCTTTTCTGGTGTATAAACACAAATAGGTATACCTAGTATAATTTCATTGGATTGTTTCCTATTGTCATTATCTACATATATATAGGTATAACAGAAAAAATTCACTGTAACATTTCGTATCAATATCGTCTGCCTTCTCTTGTGTAATACACAAATAGGTATACCTAGTATAATTTCATTGGATTGTTTCCTATTGTCATTATCTACATATATATAGGGATAACAGAAAAAATTCACTGTAACATTTCGTATCAATATCGTCTGCCTTCTCTTGTGTAATACACATATAGGCATGCCTGCCAAATTTGAGCTAAAATAAAGTTTTAATTTAGAGTTTTAAATATAGCGACATTAAATTGTGTTAAACACATAAAACATCCTAAAGTAACGTTTCACTTGCAAACGTCACATCATCCATCTTTGCTTGTGTACCCAACTAGTTTTTCACTAAGACATTTTCGTCTGTCTTGAACAATGTACAAGCGTGTACAAAATACTGTGGATAGAAATTTACGTTTAAGTCGGTACTTTGTATCAACGCTAATATTTGAGTATCTTGTATTACGTAATTTACAATAATATTTCTATAGTATGAAGAACAAATACAGGCAAAAAGATATGAAAAAAAAAAAAAGAGACACGAATTAATCAAAGATCTCTGTGATTGTAGTAGTTTTACAGAACGCCCCCCAGTGGCACAGCTGTATGTCTGCGGAATTATAACGCTAGAAACCGGGTTTCGTGGTGGGCAGAACATAGATAGTCCATTGTGTAGCTTTGTGCTTAACTACAAACAAACTTTTCATATCAAAATTTGAATTTTCGTTTATCAGTCTTTCCGAATAGTTTGTGAAACGGGTCAAACCTCTTCAGTCGAGTAATTTTTAAGGCTAATTTAATACCTAAAATTATGACTGTAAATCTAAACATTTGTATTTTTAAATAATTATACTTTTATATATCTGGTCGAAAATGTCATTATTTTTTCTAATTCTGAAGATATGTTTTGAGTTGTTAACGCACTTTACTAAAACTAGTATTGTCTACAGAAATAAATATATCATCTGCAAAAACCAATACGCATCCAGAGTGAAAGATGATGCTATTGTAACCGAAGTGTGAAGGAGGTCTTGATCAAGTGCTGAATGGTTGTGCCATCTATCGGTTGTAAAGTTAACAAAATAATATTCGACTTAAATTACACGAAAAGTAAAGCGTCTAGAAATTTTTGCTCTTACATCTGAAACGAACTTCTTTAAGTAGATAATATTAAATCAATGCTTCTTTGAATGTTTATACACCAGATGGCGGTGTTTATTGTCATTCGTTTTACCTTCATCAAATGCAATATGCTGGGTTTACTTAATTTTCTCACATATAAGTTGTTTTTACTTTTTTATAATAGTATTACTTAAGATACCAAACTTCAAAATACATATTCATGCCATTATTCCAACTAAATAAACATATTAGTTTGAAACTGAAATATGTTTATTAAAAAGAAGGATGTGATTTATGGTTAACGACGTATCTGTTAATGACAACTGTATTAGCTATGATAAAGAAAAACTCTGTCTTCACGTCAAGAAGTATTTGCATATTTTCTAATTATCTAATAACGAAAATGTTCTATACCGTGAACATTATTTTAAAAATATTTCATTTTTTCTATTTATCATTAAACAAATTATACGAAGTTAATCGTATGGCATTAGAATAAATTTAGTTTAAATGACAAGTGGCGGCACCTAATGGCAGAATTCAGTTTGTACAATTATGTTGCAACCAATTACGATGTAACTGTTGACCAATCGATGTACGATCTTATGTCAAAATTGATTCATACCGGTGCCACACTACAACTGTTTATATCATACGTATATATATGTATACGTTTATATCAGGGCCACTGATAGTTTAACAGGCGCCCCAGGCAGAAATAAAAACTGCTTCCTTATTTACACTGAGAATTTAGCGGCCTAGGCAACTATCTATGATGCCTGTCATTAACTTTGGTCCTGATTACATGTACCTTTTCTGATCTGTTATACAATATTTGTTTGACCTTATTGTAAATACAAAAAAGTTATTATAGCAGTTTGTTTTTTGTTTTCCAATGAAAACTGGATACCGAGCAATAAAATGTATTTACAAACCTTTTCGGGTTATTTATGTAGAAGTGTAATTAAATAATAGGAGTACTGTAGTTTTACTTGATTTTTTTAGAAAGAAGCAAGACAAACAATAGGCGAAAGAATATTTCAAAGAATGTCAGTTTGGTTGAACTTTGTAGTTCTTGAATATAAGACACAGTTTAATTCAATAGTTTTATGTTCTTACAATAGATGGCACAAGGAGCGGATGAGGATAAAGTGCCGTTCTGTATTTGAATATACATGTATCAATGTTGGGCACGTTACTGAACAATAAAAAGCTCATTATTCGCTACTCGTTTCTTCAGAAATATATATATATATATATAATCCTTAAGTAGTAGTAAATACAAAAGTAGCACGTTATATTACTCATTACACTTCTTTTTCTTATTTTGCCCCGCGAAACAATCGTTATAACGATTTCTTAACTTTCTTGAACTACACGGCTTGAAGCTTGAAATTAACTTATTAAATATGTGTCAATCTGATTGGGCAGTGCACACGCGCACAATTTGCCAGATAAAAACAAAACTAAAACCTTAGTGCCGATAAATATTGAACGAAAATCATATTTGACACATCGTTCGATTATACGCTTAGAAGTTAGAAACTAAAACCTACTTTGGTTTTAAAAAAGAAAATAGTAATAATGTTAGTGTACTTCCGACTCTTTTCCGTTATATTACTACTCCTGTAAAAATCTATCGCATTATAATAAATACCTCGTTATTAATAAAAGTAATATTATTAAAGTAACAAGTTAGTTAAATAATGCGTTGTACCCAACTTTGAGTTCACTATTATGAAGAAAACAAAATATCACCATATATAAATATATATATACACACACAGCCACTGGGCAACCAAAATCATGACTGGGCCCCTACACATAACGTCCCCCGGTGGAACAGCGGTAAGTCTTCGGATTTATAATGCTAAAATAACTGGTTCGATTTCCCCTCGGTGGACACAGCAGATAGCCCGATGTGGCTTTATTATAAGAAAACACACCCTAAAACTAACAATCACTATAGCAAAACTAAAACCAATACTTATTTAGGGTAAGCATGTATATACACATTTTGTGTATGCACTCATGGATAGTATCATCTCAGGAATGACATCAGCTATTTCTTTTTATTTTGTTAGCTATAGGGGTCTCACCCATTGCAAAGTTTTTAGTCTCTTGTTTAGTGATTCAGCAAGAATTTCGTGAACCGGGTATCAGTAAGTCTTTGGGGGAGGGGCTTAAAAAAAGAAACCGGTATTCTACTGCTTCTCGGATTTTTGGTTACGAGAGTAGTCCTCGGTAGGTTTCACCCCTTGCCCCCTCTATTGCTACAGACCTGCTTCTTATTTTTTTACACAAATACTTTGAATTTTCTCCCGAATCCAAAATGTTTTCAGAGATGTTATCAAGGAGGTTGTGTATATTGTTTTTACCTGTTTTTCAGGGGGAGTTACCAAGAGAGGTGTGTATGTTGTCTTTACTTGTGTTTCAGTAATGATTTATGAGATCTACGTTCTCGATTGCACAAAAATTTGAAATCGTCATGATTTCTGTTTCTATTTGTATTCCAAAATTTCCAAATATGTCGTGCGCCACGTAACGTTAGTTTTGGTTCTTTTTATCATAAGAATTTCCTATAGTGGCACACTAGTACCGTATGACTTGGTGAGCGGAACACAGACAGCCCATTGTGTAGCTTTGTGCTTAACTTCAAAACCAAAACAAACAGACTTGTTATACTACAAGATTGGGAATTTAAAAATCTGCAAATAGGGATTCTATTTTCGCTCCATGCTGTTACCTAGAATTACATTTTAGTGGAGTCAAAATAGGGATTTGTAGTTTGAGTAAATAATGTCTACAATATCTCCAGCCTTGTTTGCTTACCTTTTTTACGATATCTGTTTGCACATTTTTATTAAATTCCCAATCTTTTATTTATCTTATTTGCTGGCTTTTTCATGCACAACTATGGACAAAGGATTACTTGATATGGTAGCTAACTTTATACATTGTAATGATAATAAACATAGCTAGTAGCTAGCTGATACGATTCATGATGATTTATTGTAGCTATTGACTATTTGATCGCATGAGTTAGAGATGTAAAATGTTGAATTGCAATTGGAGATTGTCATGGAGATTTGTTTGAGAATATAGTGAGTATTTATAGTTTCTGTGTAACTAAATTCTATATATATAATGCATAGCAATGGGAAAATATATGCCTAGACTAAGACACAACCACCACAAGGTACGTATAAAATTTTACCAACAGAAAAAAACAGCTTTTCTCAAATATAACATATACGTTTAAAACATAGTTTTAAATAAACCTTCGTTTCTTTTAAGGTAATTATTCTACGAATGTGTGCAATAAAATTCATTATTATGTGTATTGATTTTTTTTTACTCCTTTACTTCATACATAATATAGGAGTTGGCTCCCTAAAGACACCAGTTGTATAGTGTACAAAGCATTGAGTATCTACATGTTACAGTCATCTAAAATTCATTTATTATTGGCTGATAATTCCTGTTTCATCCTGTACTTAAGTTTTTAAAGGAACATCAGATGTTTCTAAGAAAGCTAACTTCAAGTGATAATGATAACATCGTTTATATTAGAATGATGATGTTTTTTAGCTTATGTAAAATATAGAAGAAAAAAATTGGCTTTTCAATACCCCTAAGACCTTCGCGGTACCATATTTTGTATTCTACAAAAGGTTTGGGTGTAATATACCAAGCCGGTTTGGTGGCAAGAGAATAGTAATAATAGGAAGAAGAATTACTTACGGGCCGTTTTGAGCGG